CAGATCAAGGCCGTAACTTTGAATCAGCTGTGTTCTAAGAATGCTGCAAGTTGTTTGGCATCTGAAAGACCAGGACAACGCCACTGCACCCACAGTCTGATGGGATGGTAGAAAAGTACAACTGGACACTGGGACAGGAATTAGCAAAGTTTTCTAATAGCCGCCAAGATGACTGGGATGTCTTGCTCCCTCCAATATTGGTGGCCTATAGAACAGCAGAGCAAGAAACCACTGGATACACTCCAGCAAAGTTGATGTTTGGTCGGTGAAGCTCTTGATGAAGTTACTACCTCTGATGTGACTGTTAACGACGATAGAACATTTCCTGATGAAGCAGATGAGCCCCATATGAAGCAGAAGCCAACGAGAAGGAGACCAGTACGGAAGAAGATACGTCCTGTAAAATTAAGAGACTTTGTTGAATTGTAATTTTGTGTTTGTAATTCTGTACATTTTAATTAAGTTATTGTTAATTGTTATTGGTTTAATGTAAGTGGCTATTGTTCGGGACGAACAATACTAAGGAGGGGGCAGTGTTGCGTCAGCGAGGTCACGTGACTAGTATCATGCCATTCGTTCTCTCGAACCTTCGTAAATTATCGGGAGACTACGAGATATGTGTTAGTCTTGTATATATTTAAGACGTTCACAACGTGACGGGACAATGAGTAGGTAGTGAGTAACTGAACTGCAGTCAGAGAGTATTGTTGAAGTTAACGTTCGTTATAGCGCAACTGTTGAAATTGAGTGTATCGTAAAATTGTATTCGGAAAGAATAAACCAGTTTTATTAAGAAAGGACTTGTGTCGCTAAAGTTTCGTCGGAACGAAGTTACGGAAAATCAACTAACGAACGGAGACGTAACAATATGTTATAAACCTCCAAGCTTATCGCTGAGTCACAGGGGGCGTGGTTTATGAAAAACGTTAAAACTTGTTTATTGAATTTCGTGCAAATCTTATCTATCTGCGCTAGTTTTCCTCAATTTAGAAGTGATGGACTAGACTCCAGAGGGAAGGCAGCTAGTCAACATCTACCAGCACCAGCCCTTGACGTAGATAGCTCAGCTACCTTGCGTCATAAAGCCCCAACCAACCACCAACTTTTGGGAATTAACAGTCATATTATAAAGTCCTCACCACATAAAAAGAGAGCACGTTCATGATACAGGATTCAAACCCACGACCAGCAAATTATGAGCAGTTGGGATATTGTTAAGCACGTGAGAATTATAGCGTTTGTTACAGAGCGACTGTTGAAATTAAGTGTATCGTAAAGTTGTATTCGGAAAGAATAAACCAGTTTTATTTATATTGTACATGTCTAAATCAACAAAATAATAATAAGTTCACAGAAAACTATTTGTGGCAACATTTTTATGAGGTACACATAAATTACTTAAACATGAACTTACATTTATATTGATTAACTTATAAGAAAAAAAAATGGCCCACAGTATAGCATCTGGAGGAATAGGAAACTAAGCTTGTATAAACTATCAATACACACAAATACTGTAAATTTTTAAAAGAATAATAAGAGTATATTTTTAAATATGCCACTGGGTGACGCCAGCCACAACAATTATGTTATTAACATTGAAACTGATAATACATAATGTTGCGTCAGCGAGGTCACGTGACTAGTATCACGCCACCTGTTTCTAGAAATATCCTGTTCCTTCATGAATGCCCTAGCATTTACTAGATATGTGTTAGTCTTGTATATATATATAAGACGGTCACAACGTGAGGTAATGAGTAATTGAACTGCAGTCAGAGAGAATATTGTTAAGCATGTGAGAATTATAGCGTTTGTTACAGAGCGACTGTTGAAATTAAGTGTATCGTAAAGTTGTATTCGGAAAGAATAAACCAGTTTTATTTAAGAAAGGACTTGTGTCGCTAAAGTTTCGTCGGAACGAATTTACGGAAAATTAACTAACGAACGGAGACGTAACAATAATATAAAAATATTGATTTCTAGTATAATGAGTACATAATTACTTACTAACTATGTGGTTATTGCTGTTGTAATTTTTGTGTTATAACGAATTTTTGGAATTCTAGATGCGAATGAAGCACGTCAAATCATCAATCAAAATATGGCAAAGTTCATTATTCTACTGTTCCTTCACATTACAATAAAAAAATTAATAAATTTGACTAACTTACATAATAAAGAGAGAAATTACAAACAGGTGGTTGAAATCATTATGCATAAATGAAAGACCACTGAAAAACATTTGTGATGTGTTTTAATTTGATAATTTGTGTTTGCTTGTTTTTCTTGCGGTTCATTTTACTCTCTTTATGACATTTCTGTATATGAGGTATTGCGGATACTTTTCAGTTAGACATCAGTGTAACCGTAAAATGAGGTTACTTTAATGAAGATAAAAAATATTATCTACTATACACAGTGCCGGAGAGGTCTTTCGTACAATTCTAGGACTCTTCAGGTTGGCTTGAATACGACAAAAATATCTATAATAATGTAAATGTACTTAACGCTCGTTAATCTTTCAATTTGACTTGAACAAGAATCGAAATCATTATTCAAATTATCATACTTCACGAAGATAAATATTACCTAATACGTGACTATTCAGATTGACTTACACTCGCAATGTTAATCAAGTTACCGAATAATAATTCATAAGAACTGTGGTTTACCTCATAAAGAGAGGGAAAGATTATATAAAACATAATTATTCAGAATTAATTATACTTGCACGTCCAAGAAAGTTCTTCAGTATTACCAAGGCTGATTACTTTCATGGAAACGAATACTTGTAATATTTATACTTATAGCTGGCCAACTAAACACAGCGGTGAACCAGTTAAAGCTAATTTGGCTGTAGATTAGTAATTTAGCCCATACCGTCTACTCATTCCTTAGTGAATAGATTACAGGTGATACAGCGGATGAAAAAATATTGAAAACATCGATAAATTGAGAAGTAAAAGACCTAATAGCGAAGCAGTAGCTATCCTCCTTTTTAAAGTTAAGCAGTGTATAATATAAATTGAAGGGAACAAGATTCTAATAAGCAATATTATATTATAGAATACGAGTCTGGTCGGGGAAGTATTGCTTAAAAACAGGTATGAGTAAGTAGAGAGACTGGTCGTATTTAAACTACATGAATAATCGTCTATAATTATACCTGACACTCACGAGTATCTCAAAAACGAATCCACACAGAATACTTATTTTTCTCAGTTATATTTTGATAGAATTCTCTAAAATTAATAAGTAGATGACTAGATTCTTGACCCCCAGTCGCACAGCGGCATGTCTGCGGATTTACAACGCTAGAATCCGGGTTTTGCTACCCGTGGTGGGAAGAGTACAGTTAGCCCATTGTGTAGCTTTGTGCTTAATTCCAAACAAACAAACTAGATTCTTATTGTACTCGTTTGCCACTAGGCGGCCATCTATACTGAAGTTTAACTTCCATTCTAAGTTAAAATACGAAGAAAAACTTGTTTGATCAGTTATCACTGTGGTCTCCAACTAAAATACGTAGAGCGTTGTGGTTATTATCAGGGAAAGGAAAATACGTGTTTTAACACGCATTATTTTTGTAACATCTTATCTTACTTTAACAATGTTCTTACATGTACACAAAATATGTTTCATACGCTATTGGTTTTAAAAATGTCATGCTTCGAATGATAATCTGAGACCAAATTTTCATTTCTATTTGTTCGTTTTTTGTGTGTGTTTTTTTTTTATTCATACTTATATGGATTTTACTTATTGGCTGTTATTTATAACCTTGAAAATAAATTATCGTTTTATATTCGCCTAAAATAATTTTATTACTATAAGATCGTTTATGGAAGCACGTTAACTTGAAAGTAGGTGAATCCAAAAATGAATACATTTCTTTCTCCAACAATCACCAAGAACGTGCAATTTCGTAACAAAATGGCGAAATTTTAAAATTCACTAAATATTACTTGAAATGAAAAAAAAAAGCAAATAAATAATAATAAACCTAATAGGTCATATTCCAGGTCGACGAAGGGCCCGTCACGTGATATCGCACCACATTCATGAATACACTGTAGTATGTATGGCCTGTTCGTTCGCGCGTGCAAAGAAGAACGTGCATTTGCTCAAGGCCGCCCTATAAACAAGGGTGCTTGCTTGGTTGAGAAATATCATACTTGAAACAGAAGGAAAAGGTGCGAAACAGAACAAAGCCCGTACCATGTCTCAACCTTCAACAGGTAAAAACACGGCTAGAGTGTTGCAAAGCTCTTGCGGGGAATGGAGAAGCATCGACGTTCCTTCGTGTTCCACAAAGTCTTCTAATACTAATAGCTCTCCCAAACGGTAAGACGAAAACATATCCTGTCTATTGGTAAATAGAAATAGATTTTATTAAAAATTATTATTTTGATATATATATAAATCCTTGTAAATTTATTTAGATATATAGTATACATTACATGTATTTACATATACACAGATAAACAGGTAGAACTGCACAAGCAGTGCTTATGTGGAAGTACAAAACTGAAACGAGTTCTTAACATAGTTTATTTCCAAAACAGGTTGTGCTTGTATATAAAACGACACTTATTAATTATAGTGTGATGTAGGCCTACGTCTTTGCTAACTTGTTGATGTACTCTGTGAAATAATGTAGTCGCAGTCTCGAGTAAAGACTAGATAATAAGAATCTCAAATGAAAACAATAATTTACGTTTTTACCCTAAAAAATTAAACACTTCGAACAGAGATTCCAGAACCAACTGATTGCAATTTGAAGGTACTTAGGAAGTGTTGTAACAACTATTAATATTACAAATTAATTATATGAAAGTACCTTCGTGAAAGTTATGACACGTTATTTTCGGTCAGTGTTTGCAATAATGTTTAAAATAATTCCATTTTTATTTTTTAATTCATATGAATAATCACTAGTATAATTTTCAGTTATTGATCAGAAAGTTCCATTTCAAATATCCAATTATATCTAACTTATTTTATTTTTATCATTTATTTGTATTTATCTTCACTTTATGGACTACGAAGCAAATATGTAGCTGCGAAAATAGCATAAAAATACCCATGATCGGTAGAAACACAATTTGCACTCGTATCTTAGGCCTACACTTTCCGACTATATCTTTGGTCAAGCTTCGTTTCAATCTAGTTAATATTTAAAGTTTGTTTTCAGTAATTAAGTAGTTTTTGTATGTAATGTTTGAGTAATAATAAATTTACTAATACACACAAATAAACAAACTTTTCTGTCAACCGAATAGTTTGCTGTCGGAGAAGTTCTAGATTGTCATGAGGCACATTCACATTGTAAATTGTAATTGTCGCACACACACACCTTTACATCTATGGTCGCACAAATATATCTCAAGCTATATGTTCGGTTAGCCAGACGAAGAGTCACTTCGAAAAAAAAGTTCCTATACCGCTATGTTCAATGATTCTGTGGGGAAACAATTAGTCCCCTCCTGTAATTAATAGCAAAAAAAAAAAAAATGCCATACTCTAGAATATAGGTTTAGTTTTTTTTTAGCAGACCTTTTGACCTACAAACACTGAAACAGCGATTCAAGTAAGAGGTTCTACCGTGTTAACTCAAATTAGGTTTTTACCTAATTGCAACCTGACGGCTGTTTTCTTAAACAACGTATTAAATCTTCACGTGTTAAGAAAATATTTTTACTCTTTTCTGTATATTGATTCACATCATATTCTTAACAACAGATAGGATGTCAGATTATAATATTTTATAGCGTAATTCCAAGAAAATAGAAACAACTATAGTTATAAGGAAAATACTAAGCTTTATTTTCACTTGTATTTGTAATGATACACGTGTTTCAGTTATGGCACTGTTGAATTAAGACATGGTTAACCATACAGAAAACAAGAGGGAATCCTCAATAGCCACGGCACTTGAAATTATTTTAGGCAGGATTAGAGTAAATTAATGTATGAGACTTTTTCCCCTTTTTATTAGCTATATTTTTGTGCGCCAGCAATACCAAACGTGGGGCGCGGGTATACCCGATTGCATTTTATTACTCATCAGAATCTCTAGTAGCCTACCCTCAAATTGAAATTCTTTTAGGCAGATTAGATAAATTAAGCTACGAGACCTTGGGCGCAGTCAAATACATCAGTCGAAAGAATTTGACCTCATATCGGTCTAAAGATGATGGAGCTATGAGCTAAAAGTTTGTACTTTAAAAAAAATACTCGGAGCTGTTCTATGAGCCGCTGTGCAGCGGCTAAAAAAGGAGGTATAAAGTATTCATCGCAAGTAAATTGTAATATTTATATGAGTCAGTTTTGGTTATTGTTCTTTTTTATCCGTTTAGATAAAACTGTTTAATTTTAACTGGGTAACAAAGTTACTTATTGTAACGAATTTGTTATTATATATTTATTTTAATATCGACGTTTGTTTAGATTAAATTTATATTTAGAAATATACATAGCTTATACCGTTAAATATGTATTACGAAACTCCCACCTATTCTCCAAAGTTGTAGAAGAATCTCGAGAGTAAAAATCAACAATATATATATATGTGTACGTAAACACTTGTGTTAGTGCCAGTATTGTTACATAAAACAGAAATTTCTAGAAAGCCTCCACACGCCTATAAATATAACCAACGCCACATGCCAAAAAAGAATATACATGTATATTATTAGTTCGCTATAGTCAGTGTGCTATAAACTTCGGAAGCTGTAACTTGAATGTTATAACGTTTATCAATCGGAAAACTTCAGATATTTGTCTAGGAGCATTTACAAAGTTCGAACATTACAAACCATTTAACTTCAGTGGATTCTCATCGGACATTAGTATTTATACAAAAACATTACCTAACATCACCGTAGGAAAAATATCGGCGTGTGTGGCTGGTAAATAACGGAGGACAAAGCTAGCTAGCTAGCTTT